AACTTAATAATGTAATGAATTTTTTTTAATTCAATAATTAATCGTCCTGTCTTAATTATCAATCTTAAAATAACACCTAAATATTCGTTATAAAATAGTTGTTTTTTTTTTTTCATATCAAAAAGAATATTGAAAAATCTTGCAAACTTCCGTGAGAATCAATATTAATATTATATACATTTTATTATGCGGGCATAATTATTTGGACGAGTAAACATAAATCCAATTAATTAAATATGTGGAAAAATGAATTCCATCATTCAGTAAGTTATTGTTAAAGCGTTTACCTTTCAAAGTATGATCATATTCATTAGAATTCGTAAGTTTATGACAAGGTAAACTTGTAGACTTAGGAAATGGCTGCCACTAATCGAAAGATAAAATGAAATAGTGTGAGAGTTGTCGGGCGGTGTGAAGGGGGAGGGGAGGAATGAGAAAGAGAACGGAACAAGCAATTCTAAGTATCACTGACGAGGTCGTATACACGCAAGCCAATTATTCCTTTTCCAGGAGGCAATTATATACATGCTCAGAAAAAGATAGAGAAGAGTTAGCGAGCTACAAAGTGAGATGCAGCAGCAGCTATTGTAAGAAGGGGAAGTGACAAAAAAATTATCGAACTCCTTTAGCAAGGTTCTGGGCTTGTCTGATTTTTTACTATTTCCACACAAGTACTATACCTACCTTGTGCACATTGCTATCCATTTTTAGTATTACTTCTGCGTTTTCCTCTTCGATTCTGTTGCATGCAATCAACGTGAAAATAATTGGTATTCGTATGTCCTGATGTACACGAGTTACGGAATATTAATTATTTTCGCTTAACGAACTAATGCAACTTGCATAGGTATAAAGCGAATAAAGAATAGGAACGCCTATTATTTATCCACTTATTTCTTTAAAATAAATTTTTTAGAAGTTTATTATTATACATCGGACATATCATTTCTTCGTGAAACATAAATTACAGTTGTATCAACAAATCGGTATTTGTCAATTTTTACTCATTATTTTTCGCACGTAACAAGTGTAATTAAATAAGGTATCGGACAATCTAGAAGCTACATAACGGAAACTTGAAATTTTTTTAAAGTACTAACTTTAAATTAAAATAAGAAGACTACTTAATATTCCCTCGTTGTGTCAAAAAATTTTTTTAATTCTACATGCTTCGAAATAATGGCTTTAATCTAATTTGTCGCATAGATTATAATTTTATCAATTCTAGAACAATAAATTGATAAATTGTTTATGCAAAATTTATTACAAAACTAATTATATACAATACTAATTTAAGAGGGGCTTAATGAATTGTAAATCACGTCTTTATATCAAAATAACGTTAAAATTTGAAATAAAAATGGTTTAAAATCATTTGGATTGTTTTCGTAGACGATATTAAAATGTAATTTTTAGAAAAATATTTCAACGTATAAATTTATATATGTTGATAATACATAACATTCTACAATATAACATATTAATTTGCAAATATAAAATTATAATGATCGCTAATGTGTGTTAATTATTATATTTAACATTTTAAGGTACGATTTAAGTAAAAAATAATAAATTTAATAATTTCAAATTACCTTAAAATTTACAACTACAAACTATCAAATATATTATGTACTCTATGCTTAATAATTCGCAATTTAAATGTTTATTCTTTTCATTTAGATTCAATATTTTTAATTTGTATTCGCTACCTAAGTAGAGACAAGGTAAAAGAAAGTTTGGATGATTGCATGAATATGTTAAACAAATTATTTAGAACTAATAAATAACCTGATATTCAAGCATTTTATCAATTTCACAGAATTTCTTTATTGCTCCAACCTTTTATTTATTATTATGTTTATTTATAATATTTCATATTAAACATAATAATAGTGTACATTACGTTGAAATGATTCTTCTAATTATACATTATTTAACGATTTTCGTATTAAAAAATTCCTTTAAATAATTATTAAAAATTATGTCATATCTATCCTATTGTTTTTTTATTAAAATATAAAGAAACTGAAAATATCTGTAAAAAATATTAAGATCTGAGTAATAATAATATATATATATATATATATATATATATATATAGACAAGTTAAAGATATTTTTGATTTCCTTATTTTATAATTATTTACAATAATATTCACATATATTCATGTGTTATATTGTTTTTAATAAGAATTGTGTAAAATAATCTAGAGAATCTAAAAAAATCTTTAATTTATTTGGATGTAATTATTTATTGTTTAATATATTTTTTTGGATATTTCAAGTTTTTTTTAATTTTTTTTTTATATTGATTTTAATTGAATTATAATTTGTTGTTTGTCAATGTTCGCTTGAAATTTTCTATTATAATTTTATCATTCAAATTAACGCTTAAAGACTTTTAAATCAACTTTTCAAATTTATATGTTGATAGTTTAAATTATTCAATACGAAAATATATATACTTAAATTAATTTAATTAATTATTGTACGTGAGATAAATAATATAAATTAACAATTTACATTATTTATTAATGAGTAGAAAATTTTAAATAATACCCTTACACATTTATATAAAATATAATCTGCCATTAATATCGCTCGTAAGTATTCGTAATAGAATTATGGCGAATAGAAATAGTAAATAAATATCAAAGAATAAAAGACATTCTTAAAAAAGATTCCTTTTCCGGTTATGATGCCCATAATTAATAGTAAGTAGTCAGACGATCTTGAAGAATTTCAAAAACAGTCCTTTATGGTCCCTCGATGCCAATGGATAAGGTCAAAGCGTTTTCCGATAATCGATTATTCTTTTTAAAATTTTGATACTTGTGATATTATCGAAAGAAAGAGTAAATGTCCGTCCCAAGAATTTTGCTATTGGAAATCATAAAAACTGTTTGAAAACATAAGAGATTAGGAGAATCGATAAAAAGATGAAAAAAATAAAATTTTGCTGAAAAAAATAGCAGTGACGGCTAGCCGAGTAAAGCAGCGGTCACATCATTATTCCTGCCCTCCGGAGAAGGCATACCTAACCATTATCCTAATTACAGTCGTCGGTCGTGGTTGACTCGTTCTCTATATTCCCCTGTCTCTTTCTTTGTACCTTTGTTGACTGTAGACATTCCTATACATGTGTCCAACACCTTCACTTCAGTTATATTTATATATATATACATATGTTTCCTACTCCTCCTCCTACTCCTCCTTATCCTCCACCTACTCATATCCCCTCCCCCCCCAAATCTCTCTCTCTCTCTCTCTCTCTCTCTCTCTCTCTCTCACAATTATTAAGAATTATTAATATTTATTCTCTATGAGTATAAATAATTACTGGGATTTTTTAAAAATCAATGTATTGATTGCAGCACCGTGATTACGAGAATCATATTTTTTTTTTGTATCATATAATCATTTTTTTTTTTTTTTTTTTTTTTCTATTACACATTTTTATTAATTATTGCTGTAATCAGTCAGGTTTATCTACGCGCATTAACGAATAAATTTATGCTCATGAATGTATATCCTACTATTGACCTTTCCTTAATTCATTATTATTTTTAAACTATTATATTGCTATTAAATTGAAACTATAATTTCACTAAAATTCATACGTTAAGGCACGAGCGGAAGATCGGAACAACGGCAATTACAAGAATAAAAATGCCATATCTTGATTTAAGATATTATTGACAAAATTATGTCAAGCCTTTCGATTCACTTACCATGACTCATTTCATCATTTTCCATTACGATAGTTCTCACATGAATGCCCGTGCAAAAGTAAATCGAATATAAGCACATTGTTTATTCATGTGAATTATATTTTTATACGAACATATATGCCTAAGATAATCATGATATTTTTATAAAGAGCTTATAAAGAAGAATTATTTATAACAAAGAATTTTCTACGAATTTTGTAGAATTGTGTCTGTTGAGTGACTGATTATTGTATAAAGTTATAAATAAATGGAAATATATCCTAAATAAAAATCTATTAGTGCAAATATATAATAACAAGTTAACAATTCGAATGTAATAAAAAATTAAATAAATAAATAAATAATTGAAGCAAAGATTACTAATATGATTTAAAAATCTAATTGCAATTTTGTAATGAAAATGTATTTTAAAAAGTAACACTTTCACTATATATTTTGTATTTTTCTACAATACATGTATATACATTAGATTTTTTAGAGATAAATAAGAATGATAGAATATAGCCTAATAATTGAACAAAAATCGGCCTAATTTTATTAATAATTACTCAAATAAACGATTCTTTTAAAGAATAAAAGATAAAAAGAAAAAAAAACACTATATATATATATATATATATATATATACATAAGTGATAAAAGACAATTTAGAGTTGAATAATACACGTTGTTGAATAACTAAGTGTTATTTCTACGTAATGTTGAATAAATACACGTTGACAAATATTTAGTCTATAGTTTTGTTAAACTTAAAAGTCTGTCGATTTTTTCACATAATTTTTTTTCTCCAAATTTTATTTCATAGTTAAAGAAAAATATACTGCATTCAAGCTTAAATCATGTATTATAATGTAACAATTAAGAGATCCACATGTGTTAATTATTTTGAATTTCACAAAGCATATACTTTTCTGGGATTTATTTATTTCCAAGACTTCGAGTGATCGCTGTTTATTTCATTAAATATCCATTATTGAACGTCCACGTATGTATTGTTAATAGCCGTTGGTTATTATATTTCCAGTCATATCTGTAACTCATTTGTTTCATTAACTACGCTAGCATTATAAATTCGTTACAATAACTTGTAAAATATTCGTTTAATCATGTAGGCAATAATGCCTAGACGGCATATTTCTATTTCTATTCATTTTTCTTTTGAGCTTTTGACTTTAGTTTATATTCTTATTATAAATAATGTACTGAGAGGAGAATCCTTATGTTTTAATAAAAACATCTAGTCTAATGCGCAAACTTGTATTTCCGTCAGGTACAAGGACAATCGACCTTATCCATGGCCCGGTGGAGAAAGTAGCTTCATCTTATATCCAGAAAGCGCTAATCAAACGATTTATACACAGGAAGTGAGAGCATCCGACGCTGGACGCTACTCTTGTCGAGCACGTAACGATACGACGGCACTAGAAGGTGACATTTCCTTGTCTGTCTTAGGTAAGTTGAAACATTGAATTTCTGCAATTAATGTAATAAGCGTCCTTTTGCCAACTGTGCACGGGGAATGTGCTCGCCAACACGAATATGCTTGTGAAATGAAAGAGACATGCTTTTAACGCGACTAACGAAATAATTTGGAAGTTAGTCATTCATAAATTTATTATCTTTATTAGTACTTGGTACACCAATAAAAGAAATGGAGCGCGGCGGTAGAGATCCAATGTCTTGGCAGTTGTTTGTCTGTACCGAGACGAACCAACAATAAAAAAAAAATAAATAAAAAAAAATACACACACACACACATATATATATATATATATATATATATATATATAAATTACGGGGGCATTGACAAAGTCTGTTATTCTCATAGTCTCCGATCCATAAAACCGACCATTATATTAGCGCCTGCGTACTTTTAAAAAGTAAAAGTACTCGGTTTAGCGAGCTCTGACGCAAGTGGCCGATCGTTCGCTTCTGATCGGGTCGCATTGAATAATATTGCCACGGTCCAGTACACCATGTACTCACCGCTATACTTCCCTCGAAGAATGACGAGGGCTGGAGATTCGTGGTTCCCGGAAGCGTATGATTGTTGGGGGGGGGGAGAGGTGGGCTCGTTACGACGTAAAGAGCGTTGAGCGATAATGAAAAGGCAGGTAGGATTGGTCGGGGACGATTATTATTATGGAAAAATTTCATTATTCGATATGTTGATGTTTATCGTCAACATTGTCTATCAACCAAATATGCGGCTATTATCCACTATATTGGTGATAAGAATCTGCGAGGGTGGACAGCAATGGATGAATTTTAACTCGGAGCGACACGCCTATGCTACCGAACCTGAATGTATTGTTTTTGTGCAGATGCCATCTGCATGCTACAATATGTTATTTAAATGACAAATTTTATAGGCATAATCTAGTTTAGTAGTTTCAATGTTTTATCTTTAAATATAATAGAGAAACTTGGATCGATTAGCATAAAATTTTGAAAATTTACATATGTAAATTTCAGCAATTATGATATGAGTTGCTTTATATTATAAATAATGATAATGTATTATTCGTCAAAATTCACATAGTCTTGCGTATTTAAATAGTTGCTAAAATTATTTATTGTTGTAAGACGTAGGAAAAGAAGGCGGCTTACATGGTAATTTACACAACCGGCATAATATAAAATATGAAATAATTATTTTGTGCAAGTATAGGTCAACTTGGAATGTCATTAAATTACTTATCGAAAGCTGTTATCTCATATTATTGTCGTCACGTCGTTAAAAATAAAAGAGATTTTTGCATAAACAAATTATTTAACTTTCATTTTATTTTTACGATCGCTATTATTGTAAAAAGTATTTGATGAAATTAATACGTTTAATGACATTTAATGTACTGTTATAATTTTCTTTTCTTTTTCTTTTTTTTTCTTTTTTTTTTTCTTTCTTTCTTTTTTTTCTTCTTAATAAAAGGAAACAAACCATTATTAATATTAGAATTATAGTTATTGTTTGAAATTCTATTTAATAAAATTTAACTTAATTAGCAGTTTGTGTTAGGACTTATGAATTCCTACCTAAAGCATAAAAAATTTAAAAATTAAATTTATAAAAAATAAAATTACTATCATTTAAATTGATCATTAGGTAATTATTAATAGATGATGTAAATCTAGCATTAGGTAATTATCAATAAATGACATTTAAATTGATTATTTGATTATTCATGTACAAGTTAATTAAATCGAGATGGATAATTTCCTTGTACAATCGATAATTTCATTATCCATAATAAGTATTTAATGTTTTTTAGTTTTTATTATTCATATTCTATATTCTTCCACTTTATAATTTAAAAAAAAAAAAAAAAAAAAAAAAAAAAAAAAAAACGAAGCAACAATCAATCCATCTTATAAATAATTTTTTAACGTAATGCTACTTAGCGTGAACAAATTCATGTTTACGTAATCCCCAACATTTCACTTTGAGAAATAAAAATAACTTATATTTCCATATTATAAAATTCATTTATATAATAAATGTTGAATTAATTATAGAAATAATAAGCATCTTACTCATGGAACCTACACAGGTGTCAGTCTTATGTAATTCTTGTTAATAATTATTAATTCTGATTTAATTGCGAAATTATTAAATGATTATTTTTTTACTCTGTAATATCACGATTATTTGTTTGTGACTATTAATTTTGCTTTGCTAAGAAATGAAGTCAATGAAATATGTTAAATTGTAATTAACCGTATTTTATTTTTTTTTTTTTTTTTTTTTTTTTTTTTTTAATAAAATATTTAAAAATTAAGTCATAAAATCATAGTACTATTTTATTCAATTCGATCTTCTTCCTATTTTATTTTTTTCTTATACTCATACTCCTAAACAAGAAGATTGAATAATGAATTGAATTCTGAAACTAATTATTATTATTCATTTTAATGTTTGAACTTAACTTATGACTAATTTAATTAGCTATAGAGATCCATGATAATTAGAAAGGAGTACAAAGACTTAGAGGTTTCATGAATCAGTCACTCTATTCTTTAGACTCGTCGTCGGTAAAGTTATTGCATATTATAAATTATAAGGATTTATCTCGTGCCCTTCCTTACACGCCAAGAGAACACACGAAATGATTGTGGTATTACATACTAAGGCTCTAAGGAGAATATTTACAATACATTCTACAGAGATATAAATGTCTAGCATGTCTCCGTATTAATTTAATGAAGAATAAAACAACGCGTAGGTCACTTGGCTCTTACGCATACATTTATTACCAAATTAATATTTAATTATTACTATTTTTGTTAACTATTGCTTATGAAATTCTGACTATCATTTAGAAAAAGAAGAGAAAAAAAATTAAGGGTCACCAGCAAATATTTGATGATAAATCACTTAGGATAATGATAAACGGTCAAATACATTTAATTGTCAGTTAATTATGTTTTATTTTTCATTTATCGAATTTTTCTAAAATCATCTATTACACTATCAATGTATATTCTATATAGAAAATTCAATTTTCCTATTAAATAAATGTCTTCATTATTTAACATACAAAGACTTTATTATATTATATTCTTTATTGTAATATTTTCATCAGGCTATTATAAAATATTTTCTACCAAGTTATTTTTTTATGCGTACTGTAATTTATTTTACTTCAATATAGTCTCGTTATGATACGAGTGATCAACCATGTCACATTAGATACGGTGACGTGTTTGAAGCGTCCAAATAAATCGCTTCAAGGAAAATCATGTACATTTTTATGTTCTCTCTCTCTCTCTCTCTCTCTCTCTCACTCTCTCTTTTGCTCTCTGTTTATGTCTATCAAACCATCTGAATATTACATTATCTAATTGGAATATTTTAGTAATTATATCATAAATAATTTATCATGTTAAGTAAATTAAGTTGGTGGGAGGAGGAGGGGGAGGGGGGGTAGTAGTAAAAGGAAATGTGAATGTAAACACGTTAATATTTTAAAATATTTGAAATTCATAATAATTTTGGAAAAGTTACTCGTCTTCCAGATACCATTCCTCTTCTCAGCTATTTACACTTTCCAATTTTCAGCATAATATTATCGATATTTGAATATTCCTTTCCACGGAACAACTAGCTGGCAATTAATCAAACGTTCAATCTTTTTCACCATCCTCTTTATCTTTATATTCTTGACAGCTACAAGAATCGTTCCTCATTTCCATATATACGTCAAGTTCCGCTTTACTTCCTGTCAACATTACCGCACGCCTGCATATTCCGAGTAACACTTGATGCGAGATAAGTGAAGCTCGTTCTTCGTCTTCTTGGTAAAAATTGCAATTCTTTTCAACTGTTATGTTTCTGTTTATCTTTCTTTTATCTTGACAAGAAAATTCATACCCTGACAGAAACAAAAACAAAAAAAAACAAAAAAAAAAACAACAAAAAAACAACAACAACAAAAAAAAAAAAAAAACAAAAAAAAAAACAACAAAAAAACAACAACAACAAAAAAAAACAAAAAACAAAAAATAAATAAAAAACAAAAAAATATATTGATTGGCACTTGTACACTTGATTATTTTTTGTTAAGAAAAATGATACTTCGAATGAAAGTATTTAAAATATTTCAACGTACTTATTTTATAAACAAAACGAAATTTATGCACAATTTCGTTACTTGTTTGTGTCATTTACACACGATTATGCAAAATTGTGTAAATAACTTTATCAAGATGGTACATTAAAACAAATTGACAATCTGTCTCCCATGAATAATCATCCGTAACGACTATTTCATTACTTTTGATTAATACTACGAAATAACGACTTTGTAAGTTACTTGTAAATATATATATATATATATATATATATATATATATATATATATACTCATACGTATACATATTTCGCGCGATACAATAGCCACACTAGTTGGAAGTAATTTTAAATGAAACATAAACTTTATTTTCCGAATGGGCATCGCTAGCTCAATTGGCTGACTATTCATTCATTGCGCGAACAAAGTTCCAAATTCAACTTCCAACCGTGTGAATTTTCTCCAATCATCCAATAAAATAGCGATACGCGTACTGTATTCACCGATTGGTATTGTAATAATTAATATTGTAATAATTAAAAGCAATCTTTTTTTTATTTGTTATAATATTTATGTATTAAAAATACTTATTACAACTCCTTCTATTTAACGAATAGTCAATATATATAATAATTCGAAAGAATAAGATGAAAATAAATGCAATTAATACAATTGAAATATTTGAAAATGGTAACACTATTATATACCTCAACGAATAAAAGAATCTTCTCAAGATAATTACACTTAAATAAGTGCTCGCATATTATTAGATTTGATCTTAAGCTATATTATAAAAAATATAAATTGTTAATAATCGTTTATCAACTATTAAATAATAGATACTCGTTAATATATATTGTATAATTAACTAAAATATTTACCGAATTAATGTTCATTCAATGATTAAAATGAACAGCGATAAATAATATTAGATAGTCGATTTTATTTTATTTTCATATTTATTATTATTATTGATGTTGTTCAATTTACTCGTACTATTAGAAATTACCATCCTAAAATATTTTAAGATTTAAATAATTTTTTTAAATCTTTCATAAAAAAACAATGTCTTGGTGAAAGTCTCTGTTACCGTGAAAATTTAATTGCTTACAATCATCTAACTAATTATTTATTAAATTTGAATATCCAATTTTACTAAAAAAAAATAAAATAAAATATAAACACACACGCACACACACACGCACACCGTTCATTAATTTAAGAATATTTGAATTTAATTATTATTACTGTGGAGAATGATGGATATTAATATTTTGCGTACCTTAATATTTTGCAAAATTGATATACTTTTCATGAATATTTTATGTAAAATTGACGTTTTATCGATATACGTGCATTAAAATCATAAATTTAAAAATATAAATGCAATTCGATGATCGATAGTGACCTAGTTTTATCAAATTACAATTAGACCTATAATTAATTTGTGAAACCTTAAGAAAAAATATATGAAATTAATTATTAAAAAAAATATATATATATAAAAAAAAAAAAAAAAAAAAAATGTTAAATAATTTCTTCATAGTTTGCCAATATTTATATTGGAATTCATGAGCTTTTTACAACGGAGAAAAATATAAAAACATACCTCTTTAGTTCGTGTTGTCTGTGCAGTTGATGAACTCATATTTTCTTTTTCTCATTTTATAAATATCGAGATGGCATATAAAAGGTGAAATGAATATATATTCAATTAAATATAACTTGACGAGACACTTGATAATTTATTTGGTTTCATAATAATTTTTTAATCGCGAGGTATTATTAATTGGTCTTCTTTCAAGATTGTCAAGTAATATATACACTTACGTTAAAATAATCGTCAAAAATTTGAATAATTGCAGGTGAGGATTCGAGTGGCTATAAGGGTCGTCCATTACCAACGTATAAGCCATCCTCGCAGCTGGTACCACTAGGAGGTACTGCTAGACTTTTCTGCGAGGCTTACATCGGCCGAGCTTACATTTCCGACGCTCGCAATTCGGTAATGTGGAGGCGCTCTGATAGTAACGTCACACTACCAAATCACGGACGTCTCTCTCAGTATCGCGTTTCACGGTGAGAATATTTATTTTTGTTAACAATGATAAGAGACAATAAATTGTATTAACTGCCGTATCACGTGCGTTTGAAGTTCTACATTTCTAATTTTCAAAATTATTCTATAATAATGTAAACGTGCATGGGGTGAATTTTATTTCAGGCCATTACGATATGATAATTTTAGTGACGAAGTCGTCATATTAAATTTATTTGCGGATTGAGGCTTGTAATAAAAGTTTTTAAATACGTAGAAAAGATGTTTCAAAGATGGACGTCAATGCAACTGGGACAAAAAAAAAAAAAAAAAAAAAATATAATTTATATATATCGATTATAGCAAAAACTTCAATTTAAGTTAATAGTACGACGATAATGCTGGATTATGTTAATCTACAAAAATTAATTATTCATTTATCAATTAATTATAGTAATAAGACAATTTTACTAGCATTTATTAGTATCGGATTTAAAATAACCGTAGTTCTATGTAAAATCGTTACGTTGCCAAATATTCAAGTTTCAAGACATTTGTGTTTGATTATTGAATTGAACATTTTGTCAACATATCGTTGTTGATTAAGTTGAGAAAAATAAAAGTCGCTTTATTACTCAAAATAATTGATTCGATCAAATTTAATATACAAACAAGTTTTGTGCCTAATTTCTACTATTAAAGTCTTCATCTTATTGTAATTAAAGTGAAATTTTTATCATTCGGCAAATATTTAAAGTCCTCAACACGTCAATTTTTATTATTATTCGCCCCACTCTAAAAGCTCACTAAAAATTTATTATACCGAGTCAAAAAAATAATGCGATAGCTAAGGTATTTTATTGTATTTACCGTATACATTTACAGCGTTTCTCGACAATATTCAGACGGAAAATTTGTTTCTATATTGTCTTACGATTATGAAATCGCAAAGAAATTTTTTACAAATGATGATTTTTATATCGTTTAAAAAGCTTTAATGTCATTTAAACTCAATAATTATAAACTAGAGATTCATAATTTGATATGATTTGTAACTATTCGAATTTTTTATCTAATTATTTTTAAATATTTAGTTGTAATTAAGATAATTTTTTTTTTTAAATAAATTAATACATTTATCGAAGAACTTCATCATATTATTTTCCGACATATTATTCAATCGTCTCTTCATAACATATTTTAACGACACAGTATGCAAAAATACATAAGTCCACAATATTTTGTGTAAATTTTAATAATTTAATTAAGTCGTCATAAATATTCATTATTACGTCAAACGATCGAATAAACCTATGTTACATGTGTTGGTAGAAGGTACAAAGTTTTTACGGCTTAATTGTATATGAAACAGCAGTAATTAGTTGCGATGTCTCTTCTTCATAGGTTGTTGTAGCCAATAAATGAGAATAAAGAAAATAAGATCGATCGATCACTATGATCTTCAATCCGCTTATAGATTTTTATTTAAGAAAATAATAGTAATATTTAGAATCTGGTGATCATGTAACGATAAATATGGTCGTGTAAGCAAAGAAATTATTAAGAAAGCAATAACGAATTCAGAAGTACAAAATTCTATAAAATATAAATTATATAAAGAAATAATATAAGCTGTTTTAGATTTTTTTCTTTAACAATCATTTGTGATTATTCATTTTATTTTTGATAATATTATTTAGCATTTTAGTCGATACAACTTCTGTAATTCAATAACAAAGTACTATTTATTTATTTTTTTATTTAAAATATTTAATTGACCTTATGGATATAAGTTATGAAAATTCATATTATAATCCAAGAAATTGGTCGATAATATAATACATTTCATAGATTTATATTAAAATATATTTCATACATCAATATAGATTATGAAATGTATTTGATTGAAGCTTATAAAAGCATAAGTTATATTATATAATAATTGGTATCATCTCTAAATATTATAAACATGTTTTTTTAATAATAAATTTGCTTTATTTTATATCTGCTTGCTTAATAAAGAAATTATTAGTATGAATTATTATTGGAAAATAAGAAAATTAAAAACAAAAATCCATATGCGAATAAGTGAGGTAAAATGTTTTTCTGAAAAATTTAAATAATAACATATTATGTTAAAATAAATGCTTATATTTAATCGATATAAATGAATGTTCATTATTGAACTAAAATTTAATAGAAAAAGTATACATCTTTTTAGTATCAAATTTTATTATCAACTTTTGACAAAGTTCCTTCAAATTTTATTGCAATTTATTTATTTATAATTGTCTTGTTCTTCAAGACACTTAATCATAGCTCGTTTATTTTAAAGTCAAATATTTCAGAATTTTATTTAATAGTTATATTATTATATAATAAATTCATTGTTTATAATACAAAAAAAAAAAAAAAAAAAAAAAAAAAAAAAAAAAAAACAAAGAAAAAACAAGAAAAAGAAAGGAAAGAATAGCGAAACAATGAGAAAGGTTAAATTACTTTAATTCTCATTAATAATATTAAAATATGGTTTTATCCTCCCCCCCCCCCTCCACCAAATTATTCATTTATACGTTGAACAATGCATACGCGTTATATTGTAAATTGGCGATATGTTTTCATAATTATGATATATTTTTAATTATATTATATGATATAGACATTTTTTAATCGTATTAACACATACATAATCAACAATATAATATATAAATATTCATGCAAAATCAAGGTAATTTACTGGACTAAAATTATTTATGATCTTTGTCCGATTAGTAAACTAAAATCATTCAAATAAACAAGTTATCTATGTAAATCTCTTTTTTTTGTACAAAGTATAGTTTTTTTTTAATTTTTTTATTGTATATTCATTCCGTAGATAACTCTTGTCCATTTATTTTACTTGATAAATTTGATTTTACTCGATACATTAACCAATATTAAAGGATTTGAATAGGTTAATTTGTTTTTGAAAATCAATATAATATATATATGTATATACACATATTTTACTGTAAATTATTCAGAGTAAATGATAGGAGTCATTTAATGACCATAAATGCATGAATGCTAAAATTGAATTACTTTAAAAAAATAAAATTCTGCCTTTAAACGTTTAAACTTTCATAAAATTATATTTTATTTCGATATAATTATGTTATAATAATTGGAGATTTAATGCATTATAACTACTTAAATAAATATCCTTATTATTATTTGCGATATTATAATAATTGAAGCTAAATTATAATTATTACAATATAAATTACCAAGATCGTTTCCAGTCACCATAATTCACTGTTCTGAGTGTTAAAAGAGTAATTTACTGTGCTGAGGTTGTTGATAATATAATAGCTTTTGAGTACTTTTCGTTTACTTTTATTAATATTGTTTTCGTTAAAACATCTTCATACTTACATAAGTAGATTGTGTAGTATTTATAAAACAAATTTTAACTAATAGACTAGGGAAATTTTAAGTATTAAGAGAAAATAAAAATAACAATAAGAAAAATTAAGAAGATTAAAAGTAGTAAAGGGTAATGAAAATGATATGTGATAGATTTATTAACAAAACGGTAATTCTATCGAACCGTATATTTTTAATACACGTGAATTTTTTTTTTTTTTTTTTTTTTTTTTTTTTTTTTTTTTTTTTTATTGTATTACAGTTTTTCTTTACACGGTACTTTCTTAGCCATGAAAAATAGCTATTACATGTACAATATTATTTACCGTATTAAAGTTGAGATCGAATTTTGTGTTGAAAGAAATTCTATTTGTATAAATCGAACAATATAAATAATTGAAAAGAATTTTTTTTTTTTTTATTCTATTCATATTGTAGATAATATAATAAACGATGCGATAAGGTATAAGTTGAGGAAAATTGATTTTACAAGTAATTGTATGAACGACTTAATTTGAAATATCCTATAAAATGTGCACTTACGTGTGAATTTACGTTCCTGTCACATTCTTTATTTATGGTTAATTACATTTTTTCAAACTACATTTCATTTAAAATCAAACTATATATCTATAATGACATTATGCAGTATCAATGTTCTACATTTTTAGTATATGATTGATTTTTTTTATTAATTAAAATTTTTATCTTTTTAATATCGGTAAAACGGACAAATTGATATCACTGATTTATCGCACATTTACAATTGATTTTCATCGTATGGAAAACAAGAAATAATCCTATAACAATTAATTAAATAATCGTGGACTTCAGATTGTGTTATTTTTCGTATTAATATTAATATTAATATTAATTATTTCTTATAACGTTCACACGACTGATTGCGGATATACCATAAAGATGTTTTGCACGAATAAATGAATAAAATCAGCCAAGGCAATGTGAATTATAAAAGCCGATAAAAAAAAAAAAAAAAAAAAAAAGTATAAGTATAGCACGAGTGCAGTGGATTGTCTTGATAGTTGATGCAAGTAATCATGGAAGTGTCTAGACTCCCTAAGGAATTGCAAAAATTTATGATGGATGCAGGTGCACTCGATCATTGGTATATACGTGTTAAATAGGCGAAATGCTCGATAAACGTATTTCATAAGAATAATTGTTCGTATTGGCATGGACGAACAGCATTCTCTTTTCAATATCATCTCACGCTAAATATTCGAAACTATTCGTTTTCAAATCGTTGCTTTAATACATTAGCAGAATTATTATCAAATGCAACATATTATTTTGTAATATAACGTCTTTGTGTGGCTTTAATTCAATGAAGAAAGATTTTCTAGGATTATAAATGAAATTCATATTAGCAAATAATAGTTCTCATCATATAGATTAATAATTACGGATATATTACGACTTAAATAATAATTGAAAAATAATATGTTTCGCTATATCATCAGTCATTTGAAGGAAAAAAAAATAAAAATATGTAACATTTATTTTGTGTATTAACTCATAAATTTCCTCTTTGTTGTTATTTGTACTTGAATATTTTATATTCGACTGCGTTTATACGTACATGAAAAATCAATATTTTACAATCCATAAGTATTGTAATTGTATGGATTATTTAGTTCGTAACACCGCTAGTTTACCATTTTATTTAAAATAATTGAGCAAAGTAGAGGAGAAATATTAAATCTTCTTTAACGTACCGTTGCCTCTAATAATTATGTAATTATATAATTTTAGAGATTATATATAAATCATGAGCTTTTATGGCTTTATAGCATTGAATGAAAAAAGAAATTAAATTAATTAAATTTATGCATTTTTATAAGCGATATTGAACGAAAGCTGTAAAGAAGCGTTTAAAATATAAAAAATTTCTTACTAATGTAATATTAATTCAAAATGATGGATAAATGTTTACAATAATTTACAGAGTTTAACTAAAAATTTTCGTTAAAATGAACTATTTGCTAATATGATGTAAATAATTTTTTATAAGAATACTAATTGCTTATACATTTTTATATTCATTCCTAGCGAAGACACAATTATTAATATTACAAAATATTAGTATATGAATACAATGTTATTAATATGCAAATCGCACGCCTTTGTTTTCAAATAATCGACCTTTCTAATTAATGCAGTATTATTATAAACTTTCGAAAAATCATTTTTGCACGGAGATGAAATTGTTATCTACCATTCATGATTAATTGTTTTCTTCTTCTGCTGGTTCCTTTATTAATAATAAATCAAATTCTTAGAAATATTTTACGATATAATGGAAAACAATTAATTAAGAAAATAATGTAATTACTTAAAGACAAAGATATTCTTTTAATAAAAATCCTTTTATCCATAACGAACGGACATCAAACACAAAGTATGAAATTTCTATATTAAGAATCAAAAATCTTACAGCACTCGATGCATTTAAAAATATCTCGCGATAATAATGACAGGCCCTGATTACTTAAGAATTTTACGATTCTAAATAAGCAAAAAGAGTGCAATGAATCTTCGTCTCTCTACCTTTTTCATCTCTTTTTACAAGCTTGTGGTTGTATTAATAGAATTTAATAGCTTGAATACATTGTGCTGTAAATGTATGAAATGTCTATTGAATGAAAAATCTGAACGTAGTGGAACACAATCGCTTGAAACGCCTCTTGAAAGACGAGAAGAAATGCGCGGCTGATTCGACCTATACACATGGATTGATTCAATACAGATAAAATATATGCGTATTTTTATATTATCTATTTTTTTTTTTATCGTAATGGTATTTAAGCTGAGAGCCGAGTGCATTGGACTTTGCCTTATTGTCGCCACTTTCTCCTGGCAATCAAATTTTTAAAAGATATTGTCAATTAAGATGTGCGTTTCTAGTCATTTTGCACGTAAACATGTTTCTATGATCGTGCATTTGCCAATGTCGTATGTAGAATGTCATAATTTTTAAATATTCCCAATCGAACGATAAATTGCGTTCGCAAAGAAGATATTTCAAAGAAAATTCATTTTCATGCAATTTATTCTATTTTCAATCAAAATGATCCATCCCTGACGATTGTGAGCTATTTAACGAGACATTTAAATTATTTAAATATATACACTTGTAGTATCGTAATTAATTACATTTTAGAATTTTTTTTATTTTTTATTTTTTTTTTTTTTTATTTTTTGTTTTCATAAAAAGAATGAATAAAAATATTTATAGATTTTAAATACTTTTTTTGTCACTGACAATTTATGTATCAATTGCTATGAAACGATAAAAATATTGATTATTAAACATATTATAGTTAAAAAAAATAAAAAAAAAAATAATATAATTATTCACATTCATAAATCCTCTGTATTTCTAAAGATAATAGGATCTTAAATTTTATAGGTAAAATATGTTGAAATGATAATCTATTTTTCAGAAAAATACATGTAAAATTATAGAAATGTTTTGAAAAAAAAAAAAAAAAAATAGTTACGTATGATTGGATAATAGAAAACACGGGCCAAAGAATTTCCTCTTCTCAATCTCTATTGTGTAAAATTGTCCTCAATCTCTATTCTGGGAGGGAAACCAATAACATATTTCTTATAAAATATTCTTAGCTCATAAGTATAATTTCAAAATTTATTGTTTTTTTTTATTAAATTAGATTCTATGTGTAATGATTTAATGATTTTCTATTGCAGCGAGGATGATCAAATTGTAGGCTCGTATTTGGTTATCGAAGAAATCAGTTTAGAAGATTATGGAGAATACATGTGCCAAGTTAGTAATGGGGTTGACGATGACGACATTAAACTTCCCGCTCATCTTTATCGACAAGGTGAGTATTTGAATAATAATAAAAATTATATGAAATTATATGTGCTTAGCAGATGTCTCGGTATGTATTATAAAAAAAAAAAAAAAAAAAAAAAAAAAAAAAAAAAAAAAAAAAAAAAAATTTTCACGTAAACGTGTAATTCATAGCTGACCGGACTTTAGGTTTTGGCACATTTTGCATCAAGAATTTATTTTTGAAAACTCTTATTATTCATTGATATTATAGTTTATCAATATTTGTTATCTTTATTTCCATAAAATTTCACCTCTCTCTCTCTCTCTCTCTCTCTCTCTCTCTCTCTCTCTCTCTCTCTCTCTTCTCTTCTTAGAATTTTCATCAACTATTTAATTTACTCAATGCACCTCGTCTATTGTTGTTTGTTTGTTTTTTTTTTTTTACAGAGCCACATTTTAATGTGGGATTACAGAATGGATCATGGCGCAAGTCCCTGCTTTTGGCGGTACTCGTTCTCGTATTACTTTGCTCAGTGGCGGCTTTTTACGGACGCTGTTGGTTACCTCTGACTTTGCTCTGCCGCGACAAATTCTACTCTCTCGAGGAAAATGGTAATTATCGTCTCTGGGTTCTTATTTGTTTGGAGCTCCTTAACTCATTTCCTTGTAAATCTATTACAGATATGCGCCGAGTGTCTGAATTCTGCTTAAGCTTCTTTCAAAATCTTTTTACAATTGTATTAAGCCCGTGAAATGTACTTTCTTTATTTATTAATTCTATATTTGTTGACCTTCCGAATGAATCAGAAAATTTTCGTCTCCAATAATTCTTGAAAGTGTATTAATAACTTGAGAGAATAGTATTTTATTGTATTGTATTCATCCATGTTTTGTTTAATAAACGAATTTCATAGTATTCAAATAATAATATTAACAATTGTCATTGGGTTTTCAATATATTCGAGATAGTTTTATTAATCAATAGCCCCTGTGCGATTTTATCAAATTCATTCAAATATGCATTATATTTGTCATTTTCTAATAATACCTACAAAATTACATAATTACGAATAGTTGTAGTTTTATATGAGATTGTATGTATACGATGATTTTTTTTTCTCTCCTTTCTCTATATACACGTACACATAGATGCAAGTGCTTGAATGAAGGATATTGTTTAAACGAATAAACAATATGCATGTCAAAAATCACAATTATTAATTAATTGTTCATATTATAAAGTATTAAATTTGTTATTAATTTTATAAAGAAATCAAATAAATTAACGATCAACGCAAGTCGCAAAAGAATTTTAATTATATATTATTTCCTTCTTAAAAATTCGTTTATTCATGCAAAATCTACATTAATAACTTCACTTAATAAAGTCTGAAGTGTCGTATTTTTTCTAAACTTGTTAGACGTGAAACGTTTTGATTTATACTTTGGTCACGCGTACTTTTCTTACAAAGCTTAACATATTGTATGTACATGTATATGTGAAATTGTCAGCATTCGGGCATAATAATCGAATGATTTTAATAAAAGTATGCGCTACGAAAGCAATTTAGATTTACCTTTAATTATTTTTGCAGATGGAAAGATATGTGATGCACTGATATGCTATCATGAAAAGGATGTAAATTTCGTTGTTGGAACAATCATTCCGACGCTAGAAACGAGGTATCGATACAAATGCAATTCAGTGGAGCTTTCAAATTTAAGTCAACACTGTAAGTATTAAAAATTTAAAAAAAAAATTTCTCATAGCTCTAAACCAAGTTTTTAAATTATTTTTACTAAATAGGATTTCTTTTTTTTCTCTCTTTCATTCTCAATTAATTCGACGATCAACTAATTATGTATTACCAATTGATTATCCTTGAAGTAATTATGATTATATTTTAGGCAAATATAATTATAAAAATCGAGCCGGTAACGACTGTAGGTCAAATTATAAAATCGAACAAAAATGTAATTGAATAAAGATTTTAAATTTTAAAATATGCTGAAATATAGGGACTGCATGAGTGAAAATAAAACGAGTACTGCTTATCTCGTATGTTTTTCATCCACATATTTTTGATAAAAATCATTAAAATTAAATTGTTGCTACAAATCATAATCGCCGTTTGTTTTTTTTTTGTTTTTTTTTTTGTTTTCATCATTGATTGCTTATATGTTGTATCGTCAATTAAAGAATTGAATGAATGTTAAGTTATTCGTTCGATTCGAGGAGATTCCAGTGTCTTGCTATCAATGAACTCTCACGTATAAATATATCAGCCTAGATCGATCAATTAATATCATAATATTCTTTATAACTTAATATAAGCCCGTGCAGATCTTACGCTACCACGATAAAGTCAACCTCTTTTCATATTTTTTATGTTTCCCCTTCTCTTAATGCTTTAATCATTAATTGATCTTTCATTGCATTATTCTATATACTCTATTCGTAAAATGATTAGAAATATGTGTATAATGTCCGGTGCAAAAAAAAAAAAAATATATATATATATATATATATATATATATATATATATATATACAATAAAAAATACTCTCCAAGACGTCTCATTTACCTTAGTATGCACTTTTTCTCTGTAATTCAATGTTTATTACTTTTAATTTTATACAAAGAATCGAAGATTTACACCTTTGTTCACTCAACTATTCCAAAGTTTCTGAAGCTATTATTATTGAGTTATTAGATTGTTCAAAATATAAAAAAATTTACGAATTATGACGGTTAAAAATTTATGGTCTTTCAATAAATTTGTTCAGCACGTCCGTCCGTTCGGGTAATATTTCATCCATTGTTGAAAATATACGAAATGGCATCTTACAAAATCTCTTTCAAGGAAAAGTTGCGTGAAAACGAAATGACGAAATGTAGTAACAATCATTTAATACGATGAAGTTCGGTGTTTCGCTAAATTACTTATGTTAACAACAAACTCCCAAATTTTTATCCAACATATAGATTAATAATAAATGAGCAGTACAATAAAATTGCATTTTTCACTTATGTAATTTTACTTATCTATAATAGAAAATAAATTTTATACGGGAATAAAGTTATTCCTTCGATACGTAATTAATAATATATTATTTGTTAAATTTATCAAAAAAAAAAAAAAAAAAAAACTTGATTATCAGTAATGAAAGAATAAAGAACTTAGCATCTAAACTACACGGAGAAGACAGAGGGAAGAAACATAATATTTATTCTAAATATTTTAAATCTGCTCGAGGAACATTTGATTTTACACATTTGATTTGTTATTGCGCGTGACTGTGAAACGTTTGATTTTATTTTTTTTTTTTCCGCTGCCAGTGAAAAGCCGCGCGTGTAATTTCATGCGTATGTTTGACATGGGACATGGGACATACGAAATCATTAAAGTTCTTTATACACATACGTCACTAACGAACTTTAAATGCTTTACTTTACGAGAAACTTCATACAAATGTACGACGTTGCGAGATGAAAAAAATGCTCCCTCTTTGTTTCTTTTCTATTATACTTTCTCGCCTTCCATTCTTTTTATTGTTGTCGCTTGAGAATAAAAGGAAAAAGAAGCGAAACGTGAAAAGAAATTCATACGCACAATGAGACATGAAGGCAGTTCATTGGAAACAATAAGAGTTGATACGTGTGGTTCTTTTTGTCATGTTATTCTCTCTCTCTCTCTCTCTCTCTCTCTCTCAAGATAATTATTACCTCGCGTTTATATTTGTTGGAAAAATGTAAGAATTTCATTTAACCGCGCGAGTGAATTATTATCGTACCAATACATCGCTAAACAGAATAGACTGATAATTTCAATTAATATAGAATCATCAAACGTGTATTTATTAAATATTAATACTGTTTCAATGCTTAAGGACGAGATTGAATTTATAAATTCATATTAATTGGGGCATTATT